CCAATAGCCTTGTAGGCTAACCATTTTATATTAGGCTTTCAGAATGATAATCAGACTTGAAAAAGAATGAATTCTGCCTAATACCAAGCCAGACCATAAAGGGATTCTATGATAAATGAACAGAAATCAGAAAAGAAGTGAAATTACTGATTTTCTAATTAGTTATAGACTACTTGGCAAATAGATTTGGCTTGGCTTTAAAATATATAACAAAAGGTGTGTGTGTGGGGATCATTTTAGCCTTACTCAAAACCATGCGTACAACTACAAATACTAGCTGATAATTCAATTAGTAATAATTCAATTATAAAGCATCTTAAAAACCCCACAAACAAAAATCCCCACAATACATTCTGGGATACAAACCACAATAAACACTTGCTGTAATTTAAACATATACTTAAAAATATGTATAATAGTTATGCATAAAGACCTACATAAAAGTAATACCAAAAGGGGAAAGATCTACCTTAGACCAAAATTAGTCACAAGTCACCACAGAACGTGTACAGGTGACTTACATAATATTTAATTTCTAAGAGGCATCAGAAGTAACTCTGTATTTAATACAGTGAAATATACTAAGTCGGTACTGAATACTATTGTGTTATTACTAGATAGTATTGTTAGCTCTTTATTCTGAATTTTTCATCTGGACTACTCCAGGTCCTTAAAATCTGACTAATTTTCTTAAAAGATTTCAATGCCTATATTTCAACAATACTAATGAGAGCAGTTAGTGTTTTCCCCTTTTAAATTATTTACCAGAAAACCCCCAAAACAAAACCACCAAACAACAAAACAGTAAGCAAAGCTGTGTGTTGTGTTGTAAAGTACTATCAAAGGAAGGATTTAAATTGCATTTATGCATGATACACTCTTCTTTTGGGAAGAATGCTTTTGCACCGTTATCTGTTAATACATTCAATATGAATAATATAGACTAAATATATGAAGCAAAAAACCATTTCCCCCACCTCATGGTAAAGAATTGAAATTCAGACTAAAGAACTTATAATTAATCTAATCCTGGCATTTCAGCTATACAGGGTGATTTAATGTAGGGGAAGAAATTTTCATATGTTCTCTTGGGGATTTGGAGAAAAGGAAGATAAACTCCTTTTCAGGTAAATCCACATGCAAAACACTTGCCAGTAGAGCTTTAACACACACTGTACTGTACTAGAACAGGGGTGTAACATTAGACGAAATGAGAAAATTCTTAATAAAGTGTATTAAAAAAAAATCAAAAGACTACAAGGATGATGATCCTTTGTGAGCATATGTCACTTAAACAAAATTGATACAAGAGTATTCACCTGAGATAAAAACTTGTATCTGAATATTTTATAACTGAGTAGACAAAGCATTTCAACAGAGGAAAGTCAGTTCAAAGTATTTTAAAATATACATCTGATCCTATTTTACAATATATGCAATTTAAGCAATTCAGATCAATGAAAAAGTCTTAACAACAGAAAAAATCACAGTGTTTTATCAATATGTTAATTACAAAATGTATGCTACTTGTTTTGTTTTTCAGATGTAATGGCTTGGTTAAGTGTTTTTTAAAACCTATTCTTTGAAATCTAATTTGCCTCACAAAATCAAGTAGCAGTAATGTAAAGCATCAAAACTGGCTCTTAGAGAGTATTTACATGTTGATTATTTGGAAAATAACCAACCAAAACATGTAAAAAAGTGATTTTTTTTTTAAACACAGTATGAAGTCATTAAAGAGATTAGACAATACAGAAAGCAGAATTCTTTCCTGAATAAATGAGTTATCTGTCGTACTGAGTTCACTTACTAATAATGGGACTATAACATGGAACTGCCAAACATGCATTTAAATTATATTAAATACACTTTCTGTTTCCAACTTAGGTTGATCAGCAGCTTTTGTTCTGTTAGAATCCTTCAAAGAGAGAAGCTCAAACAGGAAAAAAGAAGGCATATATAAAACAGTAAACACTGACCTCCTGAGGTTCCTACAACATAAAAATATTCAAGTAGAAAATCTACATCACTTAGCAGCGGCTATTTCTGTAGTTGAGCACACTAACAGCACTTTAGTGTGTAAGGAGCAGATGAAGTAAGCCGTGCTTTAAGCATGCCAAGAGGCGGCAGAAACACTGGAATGTAACAAAGACAAACTCACAATATCATAGACATTTAGTCAACATTCAAAACTAGTAAAGACTACACCACAAGAATTAGGTTGCTTTTTATGTGTGTGTGTGTGTGTGTGTGTGTGTGTATATATCCCATGATGTATTTTTTTCAGAATAATAAATGCTAAATCAGACAGAGCTTACCTCAAAAGAGAAAATAAATGGCTTCTGCAAATTCCTGTGCTATATACTACATAGTTGAAATTACGAACAAAATAATCATAAGAGGGGGAAAAAAACGGAAATCTCAAGGTTGCCAGTAATATATTTACTTTCCTCCCTTCTCTATGAAATTTTCTTTTAAAGTTTGTCAAAGGAGTATGAAATAAGTGTATTCTTATCATGTTACAGATCTACCTTACTGAAACTTATTTTCCCTTGAACATGTGAGAACATGTAATTGTTAATCTCAGGCCCAAATAGCTAGGTTGTTTTCACTGTTTACAGACTATGCAGTTTTTTCTTATTTAAAATATTTATTACCTACTCCTGAATATTAAAATATCTTCCATATTAAATTCTAAAATGTATTTGAAACATTACAATGTTATTATTGGAATTTAAAAATAAAATAGCTACTCTATTTAGGTTTTGCAGACTAAACAAAGCAAATGCTGAGCTTCCAGAGAAGCAAATATTATAGAAAAAAAAATGCCACATAATCTTTGGATCCAACTTACAGTAA